TGGGGGGGGGTTACTTTATAGGTGTTTATTTTTATATTTTATAGAATATATCTGTATTTACGTTTGGAGAAGAATAAAAGTTACTTAAAATAGTATTTGTTCTATACAAAAATTTTCCTAAAATGGTCCGTATTCGAGAAATTTGACAAAATGTAAAAAAAATAATTTTTTATAAAATTGTTCAAATAAAAGGGAAAACATTAAATTTTAAACTTGGTGAAATGATTAGATTTTGGACGAAGTCGAAACATCTGGGGGGGTACTTTATGAGAGGCCGTTTTTATATTTTATGGAATATATCTGTTATTTACGTTTGGAAAAGAACATTTTTCAAATAAAAGTTACTTATAATATTATTATCTATTGAAAAATGTTTCGAGTTAGATGTATGTGGAAAATATATATATTTAGTTTAGCCTCTAAACATTTATAGAGTTGCTGCAATAGGTTGTACAAAATAAGCGGAAATAGCCTATAATAACTAGATAGGAAAGTCATGTGTTGGATACAGTTGTGGCATTACCCCAGAGACAGACACCATAACTTAACCTGGAGTCGACTTGTACATAGTATAACGCTAATAGTTGCCTTCTTTTAAGAACGTTTCTCAAATTAAGGAAAAGAAACTTCAATGAGTTTAATTTAGAGATTAATTTCTCACAATGGTGAGATTTTCATCTAATAAAATGTCTAAAAATTTAACGCTACTGTAGCTGTTCGTCAATAATGACTTATTAACTGAGAAATATATAGCATTAACTTTATTTTGCACGTTGTGTAGCCTAAGAATTTCGGTTTTTTCGCTATTAAAAAATAAGGAACTACTATTAAAAAATGTACTTACATTAGTTAAAATCATGTGACGAAGTCACTAAATTTTATTTTTAATTAATTATAAAAATGTATGTTTCAATTAATTCCCGCCTTTTTCCCAGGAATTACCGTTTTTCAACAATTGCGAGTACCCTCGAAGGTTAAAATATTCCTATATTTGCCGAAATCCGAATGGGCATTTTGTAGAGTTGATTTCGTACCAATTATCTACCTTTATTTGTCAAGGTACTAGAAGGACATTTTTTGTTTTAAAAATTGTAAACAATCGGCTGTAGTAGTGGTATCCCCCACTCGGGCTTACCGAAAGGCATAAATTCGATCACATCCTGGAATTACGCTCTCTTGATTTCCGGCAGTTGTAAACTCTTCTCTCTCCTGCAGTATCGAGTGAAATACTCTGTGAGTGACCGTGATATCAAAAGAATATTGAACAACTCTGTTTATTTTCCTAAAGTAGGAAACCGCATATTATTTTTTATTTTCTTTTTTTATAATTAGTTGGGACACCCGTGCGACAAGTGAAAAATTTTGATTCAAATCCAGGATATTTTATTTCACCCCTCAGTGGGAAACCGTTGGCAATTTTTTTATTTGAGGCTGGATATAGGCTAGCCTCTGAGTGCTCTCATTCTCAACGACTATATCCAATCTCTCTTAGAAAGCGCCCAGTTAACATTGAAGTGAGAGGTTCAACCTGTTTTCAATTTTTTCATTTTATTTTATTACTTTTGGGGAAAAACCGGCCCGTTATTTTCTTTTTCGGAGATTCGATCCGTCCCCGGGTTAAGAGTGATCTCTGTCCTGACGTCCCAAAAGGACGTCTAAATTAATTTTCGCGCCTCACTTCATGTAAGTTTCTTTTCTTTTATTTATTCATTCAGCTGTATTTAAATCATTCCGTTCCCCGTCCACAACTAATTATTGAACGAAGCCTGACTTTTCTGTAAAATCAATTCACACACCGTCTTGATCGACTTTTGGGCAAATCTCAAAATAATTTTTACGTTAACCATCGCATTCTTGTTCCAAACACCGCGAAGAAAATTACCATTCTCGTTCAACGTAATGGCCAGAGCGTCGATCGGTCTGAACTAAGATACAGGGACGTTCCGAAAACTTTGATTTAATTTATTTGCTTACATTTGATTACCATCATATTTAAATAAATTATTTTTTTAAATAAATTTTCCGCATACAGTGAGTTTCATAATTCCCGGACCGCTTAGCCTCCTGTGCTAACGAACTGTACATATTTCTGAATATATAATTAGTTTTCAAGTTTAATAATTTATTTTTAATAAATTTTCCGTATACAGGGAGTTTCATAATTCCCGGACCGCTTAGCCTCCTGTGCTAGCGAACTGTAAATATTTCCCAATATTTAATTAGTTTTCAATTGTAATAATTTATGTTTAATACATTTTCCGAATACAAGGAGCCGTTAATATTTAATTAGTTTTCATTGGAAATAATTTATTTTTAATAAGTTTTCCGCATACAGGGAGCCATTAATATTTAATTAGTTTTCCAGTGTAATTATTCATTTTATTTAATTTTCCATTTACAGCCGTGCCAGAACTGTTATATTTTTTTTGGAAATATATATTTTATTACCTATTCCTGTGTTTCTCTTATTGCTGGTTCTTAACCGTTCTATTTCAAGGTACCTTAGGGTACGAGGTGTAAAGGAGATAAGTGTTTTATTTTTATTTATTCTAGTATAGTGGCTACCTAACAGTGACCGCCTGGAATTATTTTTACCTCCACTGAGTTTACCTTGAGTACACTCTGGTGTACCACAGGGTCGCAGAGCATACTGCGATACCAAAACTGGCGTCTGAGCAACCCCTATTCGGGAATCACCATCATACCGCCACACAAACTCGCTGATTCACTGTAGGTGAACTAAAAGCCTGTCACAATCAGTTCACATTTTGTCTCATGAATTTCAGTAGATTTATCAGAAACAATTACAGAAACATCATTGACATAGGCTGTATAAGAATTGTTTCCATAATTGAATCAATATGGTTAACATATAGGAGGCACAGCGTTGGACCTGTGTCACACTCATCTGAACTGACAAGTAATCTGAATTAAAATTTTTGCATTGATCTTTACTGGAGGATTTTATGGATACAAACTGAGACCTGCCTTTTAGAAATGAAGCTATATGAAATGCAAATTAGATAGGTATGACCAAACTCGAAAAGGTATTTTTATTAGTGAAATTTGAAGTATAATTTTCTGGCAATTTTTTTTTAATTATATCTAAATATAGTTTTAAGAGCAAAATAAAACACAGTTAACATATTTTTTTATTATTATAATACGAGCATAATGGGAGATTTGGGAATGTACATGGTATTACCTAAGCTTTTAATCTCGGCCTTCCCCTTTTTATTTTGCTAACAGTACCATCAGTAAAAAGAGTCTCATAATATTTAAAATATCTTCTTAAAAGTGTAGCTGGGTAACAGCATCATCTCTAGAAATTGCTTTATCGGCCCTAGGAATATGTTGCCGCTGTTCTAAACGTTTATAAAAAACATTAACAATGACAAAATTGGAATTCAACAAAATAATAACATTAATAACTCTTCTTGTAACATTAACATTCTTAAAAAAAACAAATTTTCTTTTCTAGTCAAAATATAATGTGTAATTTTTGTTTGAAATTTGTAATAAAACAAACCTTACTCAGATGCGGGTTGCGTTTAGTTTATAATAAATATTATATTTAGAAATAAATACATTATTTTAGAGCTTTAAAAAGTCTTTGAATTGATTGCTCCTTGTGTTTTCCTTAGTTTTATATATGATTTATATCCCATTTTACAACTTGGAAAGAAGTAAAACTTGCTTTGATATTTTTTGTCACTTATGTTACTTGTACTCAGGTACGTTTTTTCACATTATTTTGATTCTATTTACCATTAAAAAAAATATTTCACATTGACTTACATAGAAAATTAACGGCACTGACGTTCGACCTGCCAATTTGGCGAACCTTATAAAAAGAAGGACGAAAATTTGAAATTTGATCATTGTCGATTCGCCTCTTCCTCTCTAGTCTTCGTATGTAAAACCTATCTATCCAAATACATCACCAAATATATCCACCCATTTTTTCTCATTTATAAGGTAAATATAATTAATGTGATCCTCGAAAAAATATTGTGTGCATTTTGAGCGAAAAGTTCGTTGCCGCTTTCGATACATTTCTCTCTTAATACACAAATAGCTGGTTTACTGCGGAACATGTTTGCGAATGAAACAAGTACATTTGTTTTAATATGTTTCGTGAATTTTCGTTTAATTTTAATTAGACTAGACATATCTAGGTGGGTATCTACTAATCTATACTTACCTATTAGTATGGCAATTCTTAACTGTGCATTTTTTGCGCATACCAATCAATTTAGGCCAATTACTAAACAAACTGCCAATAATTGGAAAAATAAGTGACAAAAAAATGCATTTTTACATTATTTATGAGTTTTTGTGAAAAAAAGGTGGACTTTTATTAGTTTGATAACGATAGTCTGTATATCCAGAATAATTATAACAATTAAAAATTAAATAACTAATTAAGAAACATCGCAAATATACCTTACTACATGTGTAAGAAATAAACAGTTTTTCTTGAATTCAATATGGTGATCATAGGAAGAATTTTGTATCAAAGGTAACATTTTAACTCATTTTTAACCGACTTCAAAAAAGAAGGAGGTTCTCAATTCGTGGCAATATTTTTTTATGTATGTTCAACGATAATTATTTACTAAGTTGTTAGAAAGAGGATGCCTCAGAGGTGGTCCGCATATAAATTTGGTCAAGATCTACTAATTGAGTCTATGAGAAAATCATCAAACTCTTCATTTTTTATGTATTTTTAGCGATAATTCTTTACCATGTCCGATTTCTTTTTGTTAGAACGGGGATACTTCGGGGGTGTTTACTTATACAATTGGCCAGGATCTGATGATCTATGAGAAAATTAAAAATCTCAATTTTTAAGGGCATCTGCACGATTTTGAAGTCGGTTTCTTGTAAATATTGTAAATTTTATTGTAAATGAAACGTCTCAAAACAACAAAACTTAACAACCACTCGGTATGAAAATATTTCCGTATTCAATTATTTTTATATTCACCCAAAGATATGATGTCTATGTAGTCGCCTACCAATTTATGCTACATATTTCTGAAACACCCTCTAGCCCTAAACGACAAGATTACTGTCAAAGTTTTTTCCAATTTTTAGCAAACGTCAAATTTCCATGCACTTATTTTTTTCATTTTTTAAGGTGATTTAGAGTGTATTTCCAAATTTCAGGTCCAATATGGCGGGTACAGCAAAGACTCTTTTTCGTGTTGTCACCGAACCGTGTCCTCAAACGTCGAACAAAGTCACTGTGGTTGGAACAGGGCAGGTGGGAATGGCCACCGTTTTTAGTTTATTATCTCAGGTAAGGATTTTTTAATGCGAAACACAAGTATGAATGCTGGAAAATGCAGGAACTGATAAATTTAAAAATAAAAAATTCTCTAGAGTAGGTACTAGTGCAAACTTTGTGCTAATAAGAGCGATAGCATTAGAGAATAGATGAACCACACATAAGCGAAAGTAATGGTCGGCACTTTGAAGTAGAGAGGATATAAAAACGCTAACTGCAATTCAAATTATTCACTAAAAGAGAAAAACTTTATACATGCGATAGAACTGAACTTACGAAAATATTGGGGCTCAATTTTACCTCTTAGTGAATATGAAGGAGAGTCCGTTTAATTCTTTATTTTCTTTTCACGCATTTTGACTTGTGTATATTTGTAGATGTGCCCTTTTCGCAATTGACATATATTGCGTGACGGAGATCTCAGTTTTACTGAAAACTATGTGCCTTTAGTAAAAAATGTCGGAAGTCCCTTTTTTGCCGTTAGCGATTCATAAAGTTTGATCTTCAATGCCTTCATAGAGATACCCTGAGACAACAAATGCACGCGAGCATAAAGTATTCATTGAAACTGCACTACGAAAACATTCATTTATATTCTGCTTGACATTACTTCACCATCAATAAGGCGTAGCTCCCGTGTCTAGAATTTTGGCTTTATCTTTGCTTTTTGTGTTGTTCATCTACTCTGTGATAGTAGGTATATAATGTAAAGCTCTGTACTCATTCAGAAATTCTGCTGTATTTAAAATAATGTCTTAAAAAGTAAGCCAAAGTAAAACAAAAGTCAACTCTTTAATATTAACTAAGTTGAGACAAGTTATATATAAAATGTACGAAGGTGCGCAACATGTAACAATGAAATCGTACATAAACGATTTTCGGAAGAAATGCCTGATGTGAAATGTTCTGCACGGTCAATTAATACATGGATTCGAAAAATTGGATTTCGCTTAATAAGAGGTAACAATACAGTTTTTATTGGAACGAACATCGATTCAGTTGAAAAAATGTCGTTTTTTTTAAATTTTAACAAGGAGATAGAGTTGGATAACTTTAAGTCTGTACTTATTTAGCAAGGGAAGTGACAGAAAAAGTTGACAAGATGAAACGATAGCTACTGCAAGTAAAAAAAAACAGGAGATGAAATTCGATACATAATTGTTCATGGTGGCAATGAAGAAGGGTTTATAACCTCATATTTAAAAGTCAAACAAAAAGCGGGGATTACCATAATAATATGAACACAGAAAATTCTGAAAATTGGTTTAAAACGAAATTTATACCTAGTCTGGAACATCCTTCTTTGATTATAATCGATAATGCCAGTTATCATTTGCGGTACGTGGAACCAGTTCCATGTTATATTTGGTAAAATGGTTGCAGGAAAAGAACATTAATTATCCAATCAATGGTATAAAATATCAGATTTGGGAAGTTGTACGTCAAAATCTACCACGAAAAGTGCAAATTTTAACAAAAAAGAAGAAGAAGCATTTCAGACTTGGTCAGAAACTTTGAATAATATTACCGATACCCAGTGGGACAATTATGTAAGACACACTAAAAACATAATTGTTTCCGACTGGGAAAAATACAAGCAATTAGATGTTTCTAATCTAGAACCAATTATTATTAATTTAGGTACAACGGCAAGTAGTGATGAGTCTGAATCAGAGTCCAGTTGTGAAGAAAATGTAATTGATTAAAAACAATTTATATGAGTTATCCACTAAATATTTTCTGCGTCTCTTGTTATAATATATTTTTTGAATCTATTTCACGAATTTGTACCTGTTTTGGAGATTATCTTTAAAAAAAAACTCTAAAAACGCTAAAAACCAATGTTTAGCTGGGACATTTATTTATAAAGTACAAAAGTAAATTGTTTTCGTATTTATAGATAAAATGTAAAACACAATCTTAATTTTTTCAAAGTGACTTCTTGTATTCATGAAAACGCACCTTAATAAAGTTATACGCTGCTTTAGCAACAACAAAGCGCAACTGAAATAAGACACGTGCATACTGTAACTAAAAATGCGATACTCTTTTGTCAGAGGACTTGGAGTATTTCTGTCACTATAGAAATACATTAAAACGAAATAAAAAGTCATATATAAAAGCTAGAAAAATAAGTACTTCTCAACGTGACTAAATCAGATATTTACAATCATGCGTCATTGGCAGACCTCTTTCCAATCGGACGGTACCATAGATCTTAGAAACCCTAAAAAAATGACCCCTGCAATATGCTGGCCGCCATGATAAATGAATTTTAACCAGGCACTACTGACAAAACAGGACAGGCACAATGATAATCAATTTTTTATTGAGATTACAGATGAGTTGAATAAATCAGGTTGGTTACTTATTAAATTATAATATGAACACATTCGGAACAACGGTGAGTTTTGTAAAATATTGGTTAGCTCAGTTGACAGATGAAAGGTAATGTTGCTTCGAGATGCAATCCTAGGAACAATAAATGAGATTTTTGTAGCAAATTAAATGTCATCTACTAAGTTGTTAACTAACTTGTACAAAAAAATTATTGATTGACACTGCTTGCATATGGATAGGCGATGAAAGCTGTGACTTTGAAGCAGATCCTCATATGGTATACCTATACCCATGGGAGGATAAACTCCATCGCATTTTAGAGAAAGTAATTTCAGAAATCTTCGTTGAATTGATTCTAAATTATCAGAATGTACTTGGTAGTGTTGACTCCATATTACCGAAGCATATTTAAGATTGGATCTGACGTACGCATAATATACAGTTTTTAAGGTTTCTAAGTTATTGAAATTCCTACTATTTTTAAATCATCAGCTTATAATCATCGATTTTTTCTATAATATAAAAGAAAATGTTAAAGAGTAAAGGGCCTAGATTGGTACCCTGTGGAATACCAGAAGTTGCTAAATATTCGATAGACTTGAACCCATTATACATTACAAATTGCTTATGATTCGTCAAATACGACGCAAATAAATTTAAGTTAAAAGTCTATTGAAGGCTTTAGAAAAATATTGATAGATAATATCAGAGTTGGTGTTTGCTTGTTAATTGCTTCAGAAATGTATTAAAAAATACTCGTTAAATTCGTAATAGTCCTTTCACAAATCTATGCTGCTTAGGAGAACTCAATTTATTTACATTTTGAGAGGTATGGACGGTATATGTACTTTTTTTTAATTGAGCTCTTGTCAAAACCATGTCATAAGAAAAGTTTTTTTTTCTAGGGCGTATCAAACGATGTTTGCCTCATAGATATGATGGCGGATAAACTGCAAGGTGAACTTATGGATCTGCAGCACGGTTCACTGTTTTTGAAAAATCCAAAAATCACAGCTAGTAAAGGTAAATAATTCGATTGTCTAATAAACAATTATGAAAATTAAATTTACAATCGTTTTAAATAGTTTTTTTACACAAAAAGAAACAAAACAATACACACCTTTACACAATTGCCAATTACCAATGTCTGTATAATGGTTAGGGAGAAGGGGGGTACTTGTTTTTATAAATTTTTTTACTTTATTTCAAATTTCAATTTCAAATTCAATTTATTCAAATTCAAATAGTAATAAAGTACAAATAATAATATTTTAAGATTAATATAGATTACAAAAAAAATCTAGAATTAGCAAAAGCTGCCTGTGTTGCTTGTGCTGGTTCTAAAAGATTTGAAATAAAACGTACATTTTATATTTTAGTGCCTAAGTAGGTATAAAAATAAGTGGGATACAAAATTTTTTTAGATTGAGTACATATGCAGAGCGAAGCAGACGAGGGTTATCCAGGAGTTATTCCAACATTTAATACAAATAGTTAACAACAAATTTCAATTTTAAATCAGGTATAGCTTACAACATTATAGCAGTAAATGTGATTTGGTTATCTATTATATATTTTTTAATATTTTGTTTGAATATAGATAGTTTACTTTTTTGTTTGAGATGTATGGGGATTAGATTGTAGAACTTGGGACCAAAGTAAAAGAAGGATCTTTGGGTTAGAGATTTTTTAAAAAGTTGAGTAGAAAGGTCCATATTTGTAGTAGAGCGAGTCAATCGAGTTTGTTTGTATTAAAATAGTTCAGGGCTATTATATACTTTTATGATACATTGGTAGATAAAGAGTGATTTAATGTTGAGGATTTCGTTTTCATTATATAATCGTATGGTAGTAAATAATTTATCTTTTTTTAATATTATTTTCAAAATTGTGTTTTGTGTTACTTGCAGAGTTTTAAGTGTAGTGTTAAAAGCCCCTCCCCATGCCGTAATACAGTATCTTAAAACAGATTCCACTAATGAAGAATATGTCATGATTATTTTTGTCTTAGAGATAATATCGCGAAGTACATAAAATGTATGCATTAGAGCCCTTATTCGATTACTAACATGAGTGATATGCTCTGTCCAACGTATATATTGGTCTAGTATAACACCTAAATATTTTATGGAAGCGACTTTTTCAATAGTGGGACATTTTTGTAATTTGTAATAATTTGTCAAAATCGTCATCTTCACATGCGGATAGATGACACTGCTTAGTAGCTAAGATGAAATTTTTTTGAAAAATATAATTATATTAGGTTTGTTCCAACAGCTCCTTTCTGATGTGTCTCTGGCTCGTACATGGATGCATTCGTAAACTAATCACTGCGCATGTCAGCCGTTTATTCGTCCGTTGTTTAATCAGCGACTTGTACTTGTTGGAACGCAAAATGCAATGGAATTGGACAAACCAAACACATGTTTCGTAAATTGGTATTTTAACATTATTTAAAATACAACAAAATACATTTATTTGGCTGTCTTGAACGCTCTATGTGAATGTATACTTTTGAAATCTTAAGATGTTTATTTTTATTAAAAATAAGTACACAAGATAAAAATAAAAATTATTCATTTCAATTGAAAGACATAGAAACCCAAGCCAATCCAAGCTAACTTAAAATTCCAACAATTACAAACAAATAACACGAACGAGAAGAGACGTTCAAATGCGCATATGCTGATAAATTGTACAAGCGATGAAGTTCTGATCGTTTTGATAATCCGCCGGCTCATTCATGTACGAATCAGAAAATACATTGACACGTTTTACTGACACTTCATAAAATTATCCGTGGCTTTGTAAGAACGGACTATTTTCAATGCGCATGCGTCTGACGTCCTTCTGATGATCAGATTCACTGTTGGAACAAACCTATAATTACTTGAAGTCACAAAAGTCATAAACATATGATTTATGCTTTAATTCTGCTACAGTCAGACCAGTACAGGCGGAATTGGCCCACTTCCGATACGAGGAAAAGGCGTAGAAACATATTTACCTGAATCATGGCAAATCAAACAAAGTTCTTCTAAATCTCTCATATAATCGTTATCATAATATTCTTCCTTATAACTGATTTATATGGAAGAATCAGAGGACTCCTTGTAATCATCAAACCTATTTTTTTTTATAGGTTTCTGCTTCGGTTCCATTTGGACCCCCTTTTTATTTTGTTTTGCTGATTTCTTTTTTAGGTTGACTGCTCTTCTCTTCGCCTTAAAGGGCAAAATGGGGTTTTCCTTATAAGATCGTTCAAAAAATGCTGTTGCTTTTTGACATTGGTACACTGACATTGGTACCCTTTTCAGCTTAAGATAAATTTAATTACAAGATTCTTTAGTAACTCGGATTCTTGTTGGAGTCTTAGTATTCACCGTGAAACAGCCAGTCTACATTGTATATTTTATGATCGTGCATAATTTTTGTTTGCTATAGAACGAAAACTGATTCTACGTTTGTTCTGTTGAATGCTGCAAACACGATTGATTCTTGGCATCATTCTTTCTTGTTTCACGAAGCTCTACTGTTTTCTCATTTCGTCCTAGACTGTATTAAAAGATATGAATTTTGTGTTTTAGATTATAGAATATCAGCGGGCTCGAAATTATGTATCGTCACGGCTGGTGTTCGACAGCAAGAAGGCGAAAGTCGTCTCAATCTAGTCCAGAGGAACACAGATGTTTTCAAGCACATCATTCCCAGCTTGGTGCAATACTCACCGAATACCATCATCGTAATTGTTAGTAACCCGTGCGACATTTTGACGTACGTGGCATGGAAACTTAGCGGCCTCCCGGTGTGCAAGGTCTTAGGATCCGGCACCAATTTGGACTCTTCGAGATTTAGATTTTTGATTTCGCAAAAATTGGGATGCAGTACCAGCAGCGTGCATGGGTGGATCATTGGCGAACACGGTGATAGTAGTGGTAAGATTATTTCAAAATTATTACAGTGGTCGCTTGCGTGACCGACAGGACCATCAATGTCAAACTGAGTTTAAATCCACAAAAGATAGACCTTATAAAATTCACGCTTGTCGTAATTTAATTCAGAATCGTGTGTAGTTATCAACTCTATATAGAAGTAAACGGAAAGTAAAATCACTCAGTAATTAAATATGGAAATATATCAGTATGTGTTAGTATAGTAAAAAAAATATTTTATATACTTTGGAAGAGTATCATTATAGACCTCGCAAATGCTCTTTGAATAATAGCTTACTCCTCAACCTTATTCTTGTATCTGATATTATTTTTTTATAATACAATTTTGTATGCAGTTCCCGTCTGGTCTGGGGTAAACGTAGCCGGTGTCCGTTTAAAGGACATCTCTCCTAAGATGGGCACCGACGATGATCCGGAAAATTGGAAATCCATTCACAAGGACGTCATCCAGTCTGCGTACGAAATTATCAAACTGAAAGGTTTCACCAATTGGGCAATTGGATTGAGTGCTGCTGCACTCGCTAACACAATTTTGTCAAATCAGCATAACGTGCATGCTGTATCCGTAATGGTCAAGGTAAATATATTTTTAAATAATATAGTGTTAATATAGTAGGTCCTTCTATTAATTGAAACTATAACCAAAGATGACAGAAGTGATTTTCTTATAGCTACAGTCAGGGAAACATGTTAAGTCGTCTGACAAAAGAGGATTTTGTTATTTTAGTTGCATTTTGTCGTAGCTAAAAATGTAAAATTTGATGAATTAAGATTAATTTGACGTCTGATACGTTCAATTTTATCTTGAAATTATTTACATGGCTACAACTGATCAGGGTACGAATAAAAATCCGCTAGATTCACTAGTGTGCTTATGGTAATAAAATAACGGTTCATTTTTAAGTTGTCAGAAGTGCAATAGTGCAAATCACATTTTATTTTAACTTTTATAAAGTGAAAAATACAATTGGAGCCTAATTTTCAACATTTACCACTCAAAATACAAACAAAAAATCTTAATTTACTGGTTTACTTTAATTTGAAACCCTTTTTCACGTTCAGTCTAATCACAGTTTTTTCCATTATCTTGTTTCTCGCCTTTTCGCGTCGATATTATCCATTCATTCCAACGACATATCAAACCCACGATGAAAGACAATTAGGCATTCCAACGACCTGTCCAAATGGCTACCAGTGGGTAATGACAGTTTTGATATGGCAACCCTGTTGTCATGTCATTAACAGAGTCAATGATACATATATAGTTATAAAGATTGCTCAAAGCTGGTCGTTTACGAGCGGCCATATTGCCTAGCAAATATTTATTAATTTGAATCGGTTTAGCAAAAATGTGTTTTAAAACCAATTTCTAGCCTATAGATATTTTAAAAAAAATAATTGCTTACATTTTTACTTCAAGGCATAAGCTTATGTTTATTTTGAAAAATATGGTTGATCAATCTATGTAACTGTCTATTTCATTGTCCTTGTCAAATCACCAGGCCTACAGGGTTGCCATAATTTTGCCATATCATAACCCACTGGTAGCCATTCAGTTTGAAATGCCTAATAGGTGTTTCAACTTCCCTAAAATCCTATATAAAAACAAAAGACGATATGGCACCAAACACAACGTAGTTCCAAAAAATTCACCAGAGGTCGTTAAAAGGTGAGGTACCCGATTCGGTCATATATCATCATTAAGAGCTAGATAAAGTATATTTTAACATCAACATGTATCCAACTTCAAGATTTGGCCATCAAATGATTGGTCAATCATTTAACTAATGTTCCCGCAGCATGACATATACTATATTTACGAACAAATATAATTGTATTTTATTTATCACTCTAATAATTTTGCAATATTATTTATTAAAGTTAGTTTAAAATAATGCTTTTTTCATCATTGTTGAGGTCTAGTCTAGTTATTGTTGATCTTAGATATGAATGATGTACCTGTCAAATTTTAATTTAGATATATCAAAAGTTGAATTGGACAAAGTGGAAATAAAATAATAAAGACGATAGTAATTGCTGTTATAAACTTTTATATTATTTTGTAGATAAAGAAAAGAAACGAATAAAGGTATTTACAATTTTTTAAATGTGTATATATGTACATTTTATTAGAATTAGCAGTTCGACTGTTAAGACATCATCCGTATATTATAAATGTAACCAAGAATAAAATGATTGATAATTAGTTCTTTTTTTACATTTATAATGCAAGCTCTTGGCGGATACTAATAAAATTTCCACACTTGAAAAGACCTACCTTTCCTTCGGTTTTCTTTATCAATCTGGGTGTAGTTACACCTACACACCTTTGATTTATTTTGTAAATAATTAAAGTTGTATAAGTTAATGAATCTATTGAAATCAATCCTCTGCGTTTATATTTAATAAAAAGTTTATTACAACACTTATTCATATAGGTAATTAAGGTTTACAGATCATTTTTGTACCTACCCTTTTCATCAATTTGCCTTGTAAGAACCACATTTTATTACAATTAGGAGATCCATCCATGTGAAATTGTTTAGGACTGGTAACAAAATAAGCATGTATCTTTGGAATGTGTTTATTAATTATCTAAAATGTGGCAGTTATAATTTTATACCTACTCTTCTGTAAACATAACATCAAAATGGCACTAACACTTATTTTTTCAAAACCCATTTCAACAATATTTACAATTTTGTACGAAAGAATACACACTATTTTTATTATTTAATTATTGCTGTCTTGTACACTAAAAATGATGAAAAATAGTAATATTCTCACTTTGTTTTGATGAAATGTATGGGTGGTATGTGGTATAGTATTTTTTGTCTCATTTTCACTTTCCATATCGTTTGTTATATAGAATATTATTAGTAGACATTAATAAATTACCATTATTTAAAAAAAAATTGGATACAGACGTATTTTTTACTCGATTAAGATAAAATTAACTGAATTTTTGTGACAGTTCGCAGTCATTATTTGTTTTCATTTGATGTACTTCATCTTCTACCGACATCTAGGTGATTTTTTACATACTATGCTGTTATTGGTGCCATATTTTAAAAAGAGTTGAAACACCTGTAAAATGTCATTCACCGGCTGCCGGTGGGAAGGGCTTGTATATCTAAGGGGATTGCGACATAGTCTTTCTTCTTGGACACTATTTTTATTCGAAATAGTTGTCGCCAATTTATGAAAAATGTATAATAATGTTTAATAACATTTTCATTGTGTTCGACAAAATATTTATATTTAATCCATTATTCATGATTTCACGTCTGGTAGATAGAATAGATGGTATGTCGCAATCCGTTAGATATACTTACCCTTCTCACCCATTTTGTTTGGAATGCTTAATTGCACATAATTGCCACCACTATCTTGCTCGAGAATTACACTTGAACGTAGGCAACCAGTAAAGCTTTTGTTAGAATATAATAATATTTTAGTTTTTTCAGTTCTTGCAACTTGCAAGATTTTTTTTTAATATGAGAATTTGTGTCTACCTGCATAAATTAAATTGAATGTGATGATACCTGCTCTACATTTATTTGCAGAATTTTATAAAATCGCTTTATTTATATTGAGATTTTTTAAATACCGTAAAATGAGTTTACTTTGCTCCAATTTTAGCATGAGGTTTAGAAACTGTTTCAAATAAATTGGAAGAAAAACACAAAAGATTTTGCTATTTAAGCTACATATTCAAATTAGCTTAAATTTACATATTTTATCAGTATTGCCCAGATAACAATTATACATTCTTAGCATATTCTTAGTATATACCTTTTAAGAATACACATGCTGAGAATATACTTTATTTGTATTTAGTACATTCTCAGAATATACTAAGCATATGTTACGTGACGTTGTTTATACGTGCTATGTAGATACTGAGAATGTACTTCATGTACAGAATGCAATAGGTATCTACTTTAATTTGATAGTACGTTCTAAGTATATGCTAAGTATTTAAATATAGCATATGCTAAGCATATATTAGACATAAGTGGATAAAGGTGTCATGTCACATTTTTTTTAAAAAAATATTTTTGTTGCTTAATATACTTGAAATATACTATATTTTTTGTTCGTGATAGTTCTGATTTGCAATTTTGATAAATAACGGCTATTCATCAGATAGCAAGGTGTCATGAGCCATATATCATAATGCAATTGTAAAACTTTAAACTTGTTTTGCTCGAAATAATTTTTTTGTGACATGACACCTTTATCCACTTAGGTCTTCAATTCATACTTATTCTTATTTTTATTACAAATTCTTTCTTTGGCCTTAACCAACCAATATTTTATTGTATCAATGGCTTGAGTTTAATTTGCTTGATTCCATTGGATATTGGTATTGTACATTCCTTCCTCCTTATCCTTCCATTCTGACAAAACCTGTCTCCATGCTATTTTTAATGGTCTAAATAAATAATACAAAATTGTATAATAACTAAATATTATTTGTTGAATCTTTATTGGTTACAACAATAAACATAATATATATTTTCTGCATAAACAACTATTTTAAATAACACAAAACGAACAAAATTTTTCTTTAATCGTGCGAAATAAAACAAGAGTTCCATCCATGAATCCTGAAACAAAAAGAAAAAAAAACAATAAAATTGTTGAAAGCGAAAAACTTTCCAAAGCACATGATTTTGATTGTATGTGACTAATTACTTTTGCATTGCAGCGATTTAACTAATTTTTAATTTACTACTTCTAATTTATATAACGTCTAATTAAGATTTTATTGCTTTATGTAATGAAAATACTTTAGATTTATAAAGATTAAAAAGTTTGGTTATAATATTAAATTGGCATATCTAGGATAATTATCAAAATGAATATCAGAATTAAAACTTTGTTAAAGATTTCAATATTTGGGATAACACAATTACGAATACGAATAATAATCCTTTTTTCAGTTGACAATAAAATGAAAATGTTTTTTCTAAAACAGTGTAAATGGGCCAGAACAATTTACTATTACAATCAAATATATACATTTATAGGACATATACATGCAAAAGTATCAAAATAAGTTTACTTACAGTAAATTATTACTAAATTTATGCCTAAAACTGTATTAAATAAAAGTAAAACTCACTTAGAATTGTTTACATCGACAGCCATATTGTATTTTGTATCATTCGGGTTTCGTTTATCGAGTCGACTCGAGCATTAACGAGATTTGGGTTTTGTTATCCAAAGCCAGGTTTACATTGCACAAATAATTGAATAAATTCATATTTTTTCAATTTTACGATTGATAAATTAAAAAAAATGTGAAACTATTACTTTTCCTAAGTTAATAACACATTTTTATTGAGATATTTTGTAATTATTCTGTTTTCTTTATATTTTATATATAATTGTGTTATTGTAAAACGGACGTACGCCAGTTTCGATGCGCAGTAACTTGTTGACAAAATGCGCATATGCTATAAACCCCCGTGATCTTGGCACAATTTGACATATTCAAGCTAATCAGTGAATATGGCCGCATCAAACCACCCACTTTTGGTAGCATTATATCGACATCCCTTTGGGCCG